AGTGGATAGGGTGTTTGCCTTGCATACGGCTGACCTGGGTTCGATCCCCGGCATCCCATGAGTGCAGAGCCAGGACTTAACCCCTGAGCATCGCTGGGTGTGACCCAAGAAGCAAAAAATAATAAAGGCTGGAGAGAAATAATAATAAAGGGCTGGAGCACAATTGTATGCGTGTGCGTACACATGCACGCACACACACCCTTTCCAAAGCGAAACAACACATAATCTTTTGTTTTGCAAGGGGAGGGTACCCCCCAGAGCTGCTCCTGGCTCTGCACCCAGGAATTACCCCTAGCAGGGATCAGGCCTCTCTATGGCGGGGCCGGGAATCCCATCTGGGTCAGCTGCGTGCAAGGCAGGCACCAACCTGCTTGTAATATCTATTGTTCCAGCCCCAACACATCCTCATTTGAAGCAGCTTCCTAACTGCTTCTTAAACTGCTGATCCCAGCAGCATCCCTTAGGGACGCCCCCCCCCCCCAGACCCATCAGGAGGGATCCCTGAGCACAGAGCCAAGAGTAAGCTCTGAGCACCGCCGGGTCTGGCCCCCAAATAAAACAAGAAAAGACATGGTGGTGGGTGTTGGAATTGGCTCACTGGGTCCCACCTCCAGGCATCCCTCACTCTCCTGGGAAGGGAGATTCCCCCTCGGAGAGAGTCTGGGGCACCCCATCCTCCTCCTGGAGCCCCGGGTCTCCGTGTCAGCGCCGCAGATGGAACCGTCGGGGGTGGCCAGACCGTGGCCAGACCATCCTGTCAACGGTGGCAGGATTCTTACCCCGAGCATCACCAGCCAGGCTACTCTCGCATCCTGGACTATGCGCCCGGTGGGAAACTGGAGACGGGAAATTTCCGCTGGGCTGGAAGAAGTCAGGTGGGTCAGCCCAGGGTGCTCAGAGACTCTGCAGGGCTGGGGGTTCCTCTGGGACGCTCACCTGTGACTTCATTTACCCAGCCCTTCCCCGTTTCCTCTGCACTCACTTCACTCCTATGGTATGGTCTTGGATGCTGGGAGTGTTTGTTTCCTTTCATTTATTTATTTATTTTGCTTTTTGGGGTCACACCCGGCGATGCACAGGACTTACTCCTGGCTCTGTGCTCAGGAATTGCCCCTGGTGGTGCTCAGGGGACCCTATGGGATGCTGGGAATCGAACCCGGGTTGGCCGCGTGCAAGGCAAACGCCCTACCCGCTGTGCTATCGCTCCAACCCTGTTTAATTTAATTCTTGTCTTTACTTTTGGTTTTGGGAGTGCTCAAACCTAGGGCTTCCTCGCTCAAAAGCTTGTTCCAGCATAAAGCGCTGCCACCCCAGGCCTCACCTTCAGTTCTTTGTAATTTGGGTTTTTATTTTATTTTATTTTATTTTAGGCGGGGTGGGTGGGAGGATTGGGGATCTCTCTGCACTCAGGGATCACTCCACAACACCGCAAATGGTCTCCTAAGCACCACTAGGGTCACTCCTGAGCTCAGGTGTGACCCAAACCCCCCAACTCCCCTCTACATCTCCCCCCCACCACCATCACGCACACACTAAATAAAGTTTAAAAATAAAAATTGAGGGGCTGGAGTGATATAGCACAGCGGGTAGGGCGTTTGCCTTGTGTGTGGCCGACCCGGGTTCGATTCCCAGCATCCCATAGAGTCCCCCGAGCAAGCCAGGAGGAATTCCTGAGTGGCAGAGCCAGGAGTTAACCCCTGTGCATTGCCAGGTGTGGCCCAAAAAAGAAAAAAAATTAAAAATAAAAATTGAGGCCAGAGTGCTTAGGGCTTTGCCTTGCATGCGGCTGACCAGAGTTTGATCCCCATCACCCTATATGGTCCCCTGAGCATCACCCTGACTGCAGAGTGAGTGAGGAGTAAACCCTGAGCACAGCTGGGTCTGGCCTGGGGGTGGGGGTGGGGAATGGAACAGCCATCCCCTACTGTTGCTTGAGTCTCCCTTTGGCACCAACCCCCAATCTTGGCCACTGCCCCCCTAGTGATCAGAGAGGGACAAGACAGGTCAGTGCTGTCTGGTTATGCTGGTTATGCCAGTACACCGCCCACCCCCCCAAAAAAAAGTGATGGCAGTAGGGAGTCCCCCAGTTCAATTCCGAGCATCACATGGTCCCCAAGCATCACCAGGTATGGCCCCAAAGCAAAAACTAGAAACTGAGGACAATAACGTGGCCATTATCAATCCCCCACTGCCACCCCAACACACACACACGCACACACATACAGGTTCCTCTTCCCTCCAGGTTCAGACCCAGAAGGCCAGAGGCAGTGCTGTCCCCAAGTCCCCTCCATCTCTCCTGGCCTGTGCCCTCCCCTGCCACACTGGATGTTGAGTGCTCCACGCAACAGCTCCTGCTTTGACATATGTGTCCAGAGAGGATGCCGACCAGAAATACGCAGTGTCCCAGATGGGACCTTGTGGTTTCAGAGGCTCCACCTCACTCCCGATGCATGAATTGTCACAGCCTCCTGGACACTCGTTGAGAGCTTGAGAGGCTGTGTCTTCTCTTCGGGGACACTAGGGAGGGGTGAACAGGACGGCAAGGTCTCTGTCCTCCGGAAACACGCAATAAAACATACAGATTTATTTTGACTTGGAAGCCACATCTGGCGATACTCAGGCCTTAACGCCTGGCTCTGCACTCAGGAATCACACCTGGAGGGGCTCAGGGAACCACGTTGGGTGCTGGGGACCGAACCCAGGTCAGCCATGTGCAAGGTAAGTGCCCTGCCCACTGTACTACCTATCTCTCTGGCTCCTGGCATCCATGTTTATTATTTTTGTTTGGTTTTGGGCCACACCTGGTAATGCTCAGGGGTTACTCCTGGCTTTGCACTCAGGAATCACTCCTGGTGGTGCTCAGGGAACCATTTGGGATTATGGGATGCCGGGGATAGAAACTGGGTTGGCTATGTGCAAGGCAAGCCACATACCTGCTCTGCTATATCTGTACCCCACACATCCGTGTTTAAATCTGTGACTCAGGGGTGAAGAGACAGCTCCGTGGGCTGAGTGCAAGCAGGCATGCAAGAAGCACACAGTGGCAACGCATGATCTTCTGCCCTCTGAGCCAGGAATACCCCCTGAGTAACCAGAAAAACAACTAAAACTTTAGCTCAGATATCACTTGATCAAAGTCATTCTACGCATCATCCACCTGGTGGTTAATACCACCTGAGACCATGATTTACTTTTCTTTTTTTAATCTGGTATATTTCTCTGGTTTTAAATGTATTCCTGGGCTGGAGAAATAGTACAGCGCTTACTTTGCATGCAGTTGACCCAGGTTTGATGCAGATCATCCCGTATAGGTCCCCCAAGCACTGCCAGGAGTGATCCCCAAATGCAGACCCAGGAGTAAGTTCCTGAGCATCACCCACTGTGGTCCCCTAAAAAACAATCACTGTCACTGTCCTCCCGTTGTTCATCTTTTTTGCTGGAGCGGACCCAGTAATGTCTCCATTGTGACACTTGTTACTGGGTTGGCATATCTAATATGTCACGGGTGGCTTGCCAGGCTCTGCCGTGCGGGCGAGATACTCTCAGTAGCTTGCCGGGCTCTCCGAGAGGGGCGGAGGAATCGAACCTGGGTCGGCCGGGTTAGCCGCGTGCAAGGCAAATGCCCTACTCACTGTACTATCGCTCCAGCCCCTAAAAAACAGTAAAATAAAACGTATTCCTCCACTGGAGAGCCAGGACCTCAAGTGTCTTGCTTTGCGGCTGGCATTGCATCCCGTGGAATAGTGTCTGGCCAACTCGTGTGCACAATCAATGCTGGCTGAAGAAATGAACGAAAAGGGCTTTGTTCCTTCCAATGCCCATTTCACAGACGAACACACAGGAGCCCTGGAGAGACAACGGGGTTCTTTTCTTCCTTCCAATTTTATTTTATTTTTATAAAGTAGTTCACAGTAATTTATCTCATTCAATAGTCCAACCCCAATCCTACAACCGTAACACCTTCCCACCACCATTATTTCGAATTGCCCCACTACCACCCAAGCCTGTCACAAAAGCAGGACCTAAATAATTTGTTTTGCAAAATAGGAGACTAATACCAAAGAATAGTCGAGATAAGTACCAGGTTTACTCCATGGCTTGGAGGCCAGCCGCACATGCTTGGGGAAAAGGCAGCTCAGATAGAGAAGGGAGCGCCAAGTAAAGGGTGTTGGGAGGATCCTCCCAGGATGAGAGATGCATGCTGAAAGTAGACTATAGACCGAACATGATTGCCACTCAATGCCTCTTTTGCAAACCACAGCACCCAAAAGGAGAGAGAGAAAAAAAGGGAATGCCCTGCCACAGAGGCAGGGTAGGATGGGGGGATGGGGGGATGGGAGGGATACTGGGATCAGTGGTGGTGGAGACCGGGCATTGGTGGAGGGATGGGTACTCGATCATTGTACAACTGAAACCCAAGCACAAAAATTTGTAAGTCTACAACTGTACCTCATGGTGTTTCACTAATAAAAACTAAAAAAAAAAAAATTATTTTGTATTATAACTAATGCATTTAAAATGATCCAAAAAAGGAAAATGTGAATTGTTGTATCCCAACCTAGAGTCTTTAAGGCCTTGTATGAGGGATTACTAACATGACAATTCGGTTTTGGGGTGCTTTTTATTTATTTATTTACTTTTTGCTTTTTGGGTCACACCCGGTGATGCACGGGGGTTCCTCCTGGCTCTGCACTCAGGAATTACTCCTGGCGGTGCGTGGGGGACCCTATGGGATGCTAGGAATTCGAACCCGGGTCGAGCGCGTGCAAGGCAGACGACCTCTACGCTGTGGTATCGCCCCAGCCCCATTAAAATGGGGTTTTTAATAGTCACTTCTGCCCCAAGTCAGCCCAAAGGCCGGGCTCCCTCGGCTTCCATTCCCGCAGTGCCCCCTGGCTTCCGCTAGGGGGCAGCAGAGGCGACACGCGCGCGCCCGCTCATCCCGCCCCCGAGGCCCGGCGGGGAGAGGACGTTTCCGCTTCCGGGCTGAGGCGTCCACTTCCGCTTCCGGCACGTTGCTCTCCGTGTGGGACTGACAGGAGGATGGACGGGCTGGCGGCTCAGTGCTCGGCGCGACTTTTGCAGCAGGTTCGTGCCCGGAGCCCGGGGAGGGCGCGGGGCCGGGGCGGGGGCGCGGCGCGGACGGACGGACGGACGGCGGACAGCGGGCGGGGAGGCGCACGGACACGCGCCCCGGGCCCCGCCGGGACAGACGGACACGCGCCCCGGGCCCAGCCCGGACACACGGACACGCGCCCCGGGCCCAGCCCGGACACACGGACACACAGACACACGCCCCAGGGCCCACCAAGACAGCCGGACACACGGCCCAGCCCTGCCGAGACAGACGGACACGCGCCCCGGGCCCCGCCGGGACAGACGGACACGCGCCCCGGGCCCAGCCCGGACACACAGACACACAGACACACGCCCCAGGGCCCACCAAGACAGCCGGACATACGGCCCAGCCCCGCCGAGACAGACGGACACGCGCCCAGGGCCCCACCCGGACACACAGACACACGCCCCAGGGCCCACCAAGACAGCCGGACACACGGCCCAGCCCTGCCGAGATAGACGGACACGCGCCCCGGGCCCCGCCGGGACAGACAGACACGCGCCCCGGGCCCAGCCCGGACACACAGACACACAGACACACGCCCCAGGGCCCACCAAGACAGCCGGACACACGGCCCAGCCCTCCCGAGACAGACGGACACGCGCCCAGGGCCCCACCCGGACACACAGACACACGCCCCAGGGCCCACCAAGACAGCCGGACATACGGCCCAGCCCCGCCGAGACAGACGGACACGCGCCCAGGGCCCCACCCGGACACACAGACACACGCCCCAGGGCCCACCAAGACAGCCGGACACACGGCCCAGCCCCGCCGAGACAGACGGACACGCGCCCAGGGCCACACACGGACACATGCCCCGGGCCCCGCCGAGACAGACGGACACACAGACACATCTCCAGGGCCCACCCAGACACACGGACGCGCGCCCCGGGCCCTGCCGAGACAGACGGACACACGCCCAGGGCCCACCAAGTCAGACGGACACACGGCCTCGGGCCCCGCCCAGACAGACGGACACGCCCCGGGACCCTACCCAGACACACGGACACACAGACACACGCCCCGGGCCCAGCCGAGACACACGGACACACTCCCTGGGCCCCGTCAAGACATATGGACACAAAAACACACGCCCCAGGGCCCACCGAGACACACGGACATATGGCCCGGGCCCCGCCCCCACCCAGACAGACGGACACACTCCCCGGTCCCCTTGGAGACACACGGACACACAGACACATGCCCCAGGCCCCGCCGAGACAGAGGAACACACGGACACATGCTCCAGGGCCCACCGGGACCAATAGGCACACACACGCAGATGACCCAGGTTTCCCCATCCGAGACACACACGCAGGCACACACGGCGCACGCTGTGGGGGTGGAAGGACCCCCCCCCCCCAGACACAAACACACAGATGCAGTGGGGGTATGCAGGGTCCCCCGAAGACACAGATACTCTTCCCCGAGCGCTGGGCGTGGGGGGATACCCCCCAAGACACACACATATGCCCCCGGGCATCAGGCATGTGGCGGATCCCCCCTCAAAACACCCCTCGCCCCCAGCACCCCCAGAGCTGCTGGCTGCTTTGTCCACGGGGAGCAGCTGTTTCCCAGGATGCCAGTGGCGGCGAAGCCCCTCCTGCTAGCCACCCGGGTGGGATGGGGGAGGTGGGGTGCTGAGCAACCTAGTTCTCTCCACTTCAGGGGGCGGAGGGCGGGGGGGGGGGGGCGGCAGGACTGCCATGACCACTCGGTCCGTGGGGCTGGGGGCGCATCTCCTGCCTCCTGGGGAGGATTGACAGATTGACGGTCAGTTGACCCGTCCCACCGTACTATCGCTTCCTCTTGCCTTTCTTTCACCCAACCCCACCTTAGCTCACTCCTGGCTCTGTGCTCGAAGATCACACCTGGTAGAGCTTGGGGGATCATATGCATGCCGGAGACCTAAGGGGGGGTTGGCCAGTGCTTAAACCCCCCCTGCATTATCTTCCTGGCCCAAGGAATTTTATTGAGAGAGCCCCACTTTGTCAAACATACGGGAGTAACATTGACTAAACAATCGTAGTTAGTACTCTCGTGACATCAAGAGTGATTTATTAAGGAAGAAGGAACTTAATTATATGAGGGTTCGCTCTGCCAGCATACTTTTTTTTTTCCTCTTTTTACTTTCTGGATCACACCCAGTGATGCTCAGAGGTTACTCCTGACTCTACACTCAGGAATTACTCCTGGCCGTGCTTGGGGGACTGTATGGGATGCCGGGGATTGAACTCGGGTTGGCTGTGTGCAAGGCAAATGCCCTACCCGCTGTGCAATATATTGCTCCGGCCCCCCCCCACTAGCATACTCTTGTTAAATTTTTTTATTACAAAGGATTGTATGCCAGCGCCATTGCTTCCCTCCAGGAAGTCCCTGGCCTTGAGCCTTACCCTGGGAGTGGAAGGCAAACAGGAAGTTGGGCTAAGATATGGGTGATCTTATCTTAAAAGTCATCAGTTGCCCTCCACCTAGCAGAGTGCCTTTTCTTTCACAGGAGAAGGAGATCAAGTCTCTGACTGCTGAGATCGAAGCGTTGAAAAACGGAGGCTGTTTAGAAGCTCCTCCACATCTGGAGCAGTTGCGAGAAGAGAATTTAAAATTAAAATACCGGGTGAACATCCTTCGGAAGGTGAGTGCTGGCTTCGAGTTGTGGCTTTGTTCCCCAGTTTGAATATTTGGATCTCTGGTGACCTTGCCGTTGAACTCTCCTGCCTCCAGCTTTCTTTTCTTAAAATATTTTTTATTGGGGCTGGAGCAGTAGCACAGCGGGTAGGGTGTTTGTTTGCCTTGCACGCGGCCGACCTGGGTTCGATTCCCGGCATCCCATAGGGCCCCCGAGCACCGCCAGGAGTCATTCCTGAGTGCAGAGCCAGGAGCAACCCCTATGCATGGCAGGGTGTGACCCAAAAAAGCAAAAAAAAATTTTTTTTATTGAAGAGCATGAAAATATACCCAGAGGACATAGAGGAAAGGATGAAAGAGCCCTTTGCTTGTCCCCGTGTTAGACAAGTTTGTACCAAGCTGTTGGCACTCTTCATGGAGTGGTAGTGCCTGTCTCTCCTTTGCTGGATGGTCAAAGAGCGCTGAAGTCACAGTAGGGTGTCCCCAAAGTAGCGATGAGTAAGAGTTTCTTATGCCCAGCACAGAAAAGATGGAACCGGGAATTTCAGCGAAGGATGAAAGCGCAGAGACGCCTAATTAGCAAACGGCCTGTAGAGTGAAAAGGTTGTTTCTGGTTATTCCGGCTGTATTATGCTACATACTCTGAAATGGTAGGAAATTGTTTGGTGGTTGGTCACTGTGTGTCAACTCTGGGGAACAGTTTAAGTTTTGCTTATGTGTCTCATAAACTTAGCCAAATTGTTTTTGTTTCGTTTTTTTTTTTGTTTCTTTTTTAATTTAGTTTTGACTACACCAGTTTTGTCTATTCTGTGTATTTTCAAGACTTTTATTTTTTTCTGTATATTTTCAAAACTGGTGGCATTTTTTTTTCCCCTTGTGTGTTTTCAAGACTGTTGTTTTTTTGTTTGTTTTTTTGTTTTGTTTTTCCTTCTGCGTATTTTCAAGACTGGTTTTTATTTTTTTTTCCTTTTATCACTTTTCAGTGCCCTTTGGAATGTCTCCTCGATACTGAAAGCTTGACCTAGGAGGAGGGGTTGAGACATTTCCTTCAATAGTTTATGCCTCTGGTGTTATTATTTTTTTTTAATGTACTTTTAAAATGTCAAATAATTGCTTCTGCTAAAAGGAAGTGCTTAAAAATATAGTCTCTGGGGGCTGGAGCAATAGCACAGCGGGGAGGGTGTTTGCCTTGCACGCGGCCGACCCGGGTTCGATTCCCAGCATCCCATATGATCCCCTGAGCACCGCCAGGGGTAATTCCTGAGCGCAGAGCCAGGAGTAACCCCTGTGCATTGCCGGGTGTGACCCAAAAAGCAAAAGCAAATATATATATATATATATATATATATATATATAGTCTCTGGGCTGCAGAGCTGACTCTGTGGACTGGATCGCGCCCTTTGCATGCACGGGGCCTGGCTCGCACGGCCCTTGGCGCAGATGTAGCTCATCCCGAACACACAGCCCAGCCCAGGTGTAGCCCCCAAACCAAGCCCTCACTGCAAAACAATTGGTCTGTCTCTGCCCTACATTCATCATTTTCTGATTTTATCTTTATGTTTTATAGTATCAGATTTAGTGAGGGTCTTGGGGGTTTTTTTATTTGATTTTTTTTTTTTAATTTTTGTTCGGGCTGTAGTGATAGCACAGCGGGTAGGGCACTTGCCTTGCACACGGCCGACATGGCCCACCCGAGTCCAATTCCTCCGCACCTCTCAGAGAACCCAGCAAGCTACTGCGAGTATCTCGCCCGCACGGCAAAGCCTGGCAAGCTCCCTGTGGCCTATGTGATATGCCAAACACAGTCACAACAAGTCTCACAATGGAGACGTTACTGGGCCTGCTTGAGCAAATCGATGAATCAGTGACAGTGACTTTTTGTTTACTGCTTGAAAATTTGGTGGGTGGAGGGCAGTTAACACCCAGCTGTGCTCAGGGCTTCTTCCCAACTCTGTGCTCAGGGCTCACTCCTGGCAGGGCTCCGGGGACCATATTCGGTGCCAGGATCGAACCGGGTTCAGGTGCATGCAAGGCCAGCAGCCTCCCCCACCCGGTCCTCTCATCCTGCCCCATTGAGAATTCTCTTTCCCCCGGAAGCCGGTGCTGCGTGTACTGTTTAGTGCCCCCAGGACTGAGGGGCCGGAGCCATAGGACGGCGGGGAGGGCATCAGCCTTGCACGCAGCCAACCCAGGTTCCATCCCCGGCATCCCATACGGACTCCCGAGTGTGCCAGGGATGATTCCTGAGCGCAGAGCCAGGAGTAACCCCTGAAGCATCGCCAGCCGTGGCCCCAAAACAACACCAACCAACCAAAAAAAAAAAAAAAAAAACGCAAAGTAGCAAGCTGATTCCGATCGGGGCTTGGCTGTTTGAGCCCTGCCTACCAAGCTTGCTGACATCCCGGCTCTGCGATGACCTCACGCGCCTAATTGCTCACCTGACGTTGCAGGTGCCCGGGCTCGCTCCTCTCCTGGCCCCATTTACTAGACCCGGCCTGCAAGGTGCTCAGGAGCACTCTTTATCCCTCCCTGGCCTCTGCTCTCCTTTCGCAGAATCGCTGCCCGCGAAGCCTGGCTGCTGCTCCGTGCTCTGTACTTGCGCTCCTTCCCGAGTTCCCTTTATTCAGATTCAGAGTAGGCGGGAGAATTCACCTGACTAAAGCGCTTTACCTTGCGTGTGCTGTGTGCTTAGTCCTGATTTGGTCCCTGGCGGCAGATGTGTACCCCCAAGCACTGCCAGGAGTGACCCCAAGTGACCCCAGAGTCGGAAATAGCCCAGGACCACCACCAGATGGCGCCTCAACCCCCTCCTCCCCCAACCCCCCCAAAAATATTACTGAATGGCCGAGATGGAAATGATGCAGAAGAAAATACTGTGCAAGCCGACAGACACGTGAGCTCTGATGTGTCAGAGAATGTTGTCAGGGTCGCATGCCGAGGGCAGAGTTGGTTTCTTCACTTTGCCCGGTCGAGTAACAGAGACCAGGGTACGGGAGTACATTGAAAATAGCCCCCACACTGGCGGAGGCATGGGTATTTGATCCTTGTATAATTGAAACCCAAGCATAAAAATTTCTAAGTCTACAACTGTACCTCATAGTGTTTCACTAATAAAAATTAAATAAAAAAAATAGCCCCCAGTGGGGCTAGAGTGATTAGTACAGCGGGGAGGGCGTTTGCCTTGCACATGGCCGACCCAGGTTCAGTCCCCAGCATCCCATAGGGCCCCTCAAGCACCGCCAGGAGTAACCCCTGAGCATCTCCGGGTGTGACCCCAAAAGCAAAAAAAAAAAAAGCCCCCAAGGACTCACGTGCTATACGGAGCCGCATTCATAAATCTCTCTCGGTTCTACACTGGCTCACCTTGACTACAGGTCAGCTCCCTTAGACACACTCCCATCAGATAAGCTGTCTTTATCTTTTCCTACAATATTATTGGGGCTGGAGATAAGGTAGGGAGGTTAGAGCACTTCCCTTCCGTGAGGCTGTGATCCAAGCACCGCCCAGGGTGCCCTTAGCAACAACCGCATGGGGCCCCGCCCCCCAAAAATAAATGAGCCAAGATTAGTCGGTGCTCAGTAGAATGACAGATACTGTTTCCATTTCCTTTTTGGGGGGGGGGGGTCACACCCAGCGATGCTCAGGGGTTCCTCCTGGCTCTGCACTCAGAAATTACCCCTGGTGGTGCTCGGGGGACCATATGAGATGCCGGGGATAGAACCCCGGTCAGCCGGGTGCAAGGCAAATGCCCTACCCACTGGGCTATCGCTCCAGCCCCACCATTTCCATTTCTTGTTGGGCTTTTGGGAGGGTAGAGGGGCCGACTGGGAATCAAACCAGGGCTGGCAGCATGCAGGACCAGGGACTCGGCCACTGGTCTCTCTGTCAGGTCCTCGTCTTTGGTTTATTTCTGGGCCAGACCCAGAAGTGCTCAGTGGTTGCTCCCTGCCTGGTGTGTGTGTGTGTGGGGTGGGGGGTCATGCAGAGGCAGGGCAACCCACCTGGGGTCCCTGCATGCAGAGCACCTGCTCCTGTTCTCTGAACCATCTCCCCAGTCCCTGGGGGCCATGTGAGTGGTGGTGGTTTTAAGGTCACTGTCTTGATTGTGTTCTTATTCAAAGCCTGACTTAAGTAATTTCCTGGTGCCGGTTTTCTCATCAGTCTGATTTTTTTTTCTTTTTGGGTCACACCTGGCGATGCACAGGGGTTACTCCTGGCTCTGCGCTCAGGAATCACCCCTGGCCGTGCTCAGAGGACCATATGGGATGCTGGGAATCGAACCCGGGTTGGCTGCGTGCAAGGCAAACGCCCTACCCACTGTGCTATTGCTCCAGCCCCTTACGTTTTTATTAATTTATTTATTTTGGCCTTTTTGGGAGGGTCCCACCCAGTGAAGCTCAGGGGTCACTCCTGGCTCTGCACACAGGAATTACTCCTGGCCGTGCTCAGAGAACCATACAGGATGCCAGGGATCAAACCTGGGTCGACCACATGTGAGGCAAATGCCCTCCTCGGTGGACTGTTCTCCGACCCCAGGTCTGATTTTTTTTTTTTATAACATGTGATTCTGTAAGATCTGTCCAGATGCTTGTGTTGCATTGTAGCTAGGAGCCAAGGGAGCACTCCCGTGATAATATTTGGCCAGTGGCCAGATGGTTCCATGCATGTGCACAGTGACTGGTGCTGGGGAAAGGGCCGTGTGGGGGTGGGGCTGGACCTTGGTCCCTGTGGACATGCACAGCTGTCCACCGAACTCCCTCCCCAGCCCAGAGAATAATGTGTCTTAACCTCACGGAGCTTGGAGCTGGAGCGATAGCACAGCAGGGAGGGCATTTGCCATGCACACGGCTGACCTGGGTTCAATCCCCAGTATCCCATATGGTTCCCCAAGCACCGCCAGGAGTAATTTCTGAGTGCAGAGCCAGGAATAACCTTTGAGCATCACTGGGTGACCCAAAAAGGGAAAAAAAATGTGCTTTGGGGGAGAAAAGACTTGCCCGCAGGATAACGGCTTTTCCTGGAAGTCTGCAAAAATCATTTGTCACGCATGTTAGGTATCATTTGTAATCCACATTCTGGAAAGCTGGAAATTGCATACTGTGGAAGTTAATTACAGTGGAATCCTTCCACATGTGCTTTTGTACACACACACAAACACACGTTCCTGTCCTCTGGAGGCACAAAGAGTGAGGTCAGGGTTTCGGCAGCTGCCGCTGAGCTCACGTCGCCCTCCTCTGAGCATGGCCCCTTCATCCAGAGAGTGAGATTTGGGCTGGAGTGCGTGTGCTTTGTGTGTGAGGGGCCTGGGAGCACACGAGTCCGGCGTCATCCCACGCTCCGCTGCAGAGCTCAGAGCTTTCTTGTTCTGGCTGGGGGCCACACCCAACTATGCTCACACTTACTCCTGGATGTCGAAGAGTGAAGCCCTATCAGAGGCATACCAGGCAGGCATCCTGCCTGCCGTCCTAACTCTCCATCCCACAAAAAAAATTTCTTTTTTTTTAGTACTTTCCCTGTACCCAGATTTTTGTCTGGTGATGGAGACAGCAAGTTTTGAGAAAGTTTTGGGCAGTGACAGAAGTCAGTAAACAGTACAACCCACCCTAGGGAACTTCGGAAGTGGGAGCTTTGATCCGATTGGGACTTATTTGCTAGGAAAACCAAGTAATTTCATGGTATCTGACTGGGTATCAGAGGGATAAGCTCAGTGGTCTGGGGCCGCGGCGTTAGCATCCCGGTGGGCAGGTTCACTTTTTGTCTCCTGGACGAAAGCAGATGGCATTCCTACCTGTCCGCTGTGTTCTCATTCGTGACCTCTGGTGTGCAACAGCTCAGAGCAGGTTTTGTACTGTTGCATTTGGGGTGGGGGCGGGGTTTGCACCAGTGGGACTGTTACATGTTACAAGAACAATGTTACAACAACAACAATGTTGCATGTTGTCTTTTTGCCCTCTGTAGGCTTGTCAGGACACTTGAGTGCATTTCACTTGTGATTGAGTGCTTGGCTGACACAGTTCCGCTCTTCTCCTCCAGAGTCTTCAGGCAGAAAGGACCAGACCCACCAAGAACATGATTAATATCAACCGCCGCCTGCAAGAGATCTTCGGCTGTGCCATTAAGTCTGCGTACCCAGATTTGGAGAATCCCCCTCTGCTGGTGACGCCCAGTCAGCAGCCCAAGTTTGGGGACTACCAGTGTAACAGTGCTATGAGTATTTCTCAGGTGGGGATTATATTCGTTTTCTTATTTATTTATTTGTTCATTTATTCTTTTTGGGTCACATCCGGCCATGCCCAGGGCTGACTCCTGGCCTATCCACTCAGGAATTACTCCTGGCGGTGCTTGGGGGGGGCGGGGGGACCATTTGGGATGCTGGGAATCGAACCCGAGTTGGCTGCATGCAAGGCAAACGCCCTCCCCGCTGTGCTATCGCTCCAGCCCCTGTATTCATTTTCTTGAGCATTATTACAGTTCTCCTCCTTGCCATTTCATAGGTGGTAGCAGGTTATTGTATCCTTGAAGGGAAGAGGTGGGGGGGAATAACATTTCCTCTATTCTGAATGCTTGAGAAAAAGGAACATATGCTTTAACCTTTAAAGGTGCCACTGACAGGCATGGAGAAATAGTTAAACTGGGAGACCACTTGACTTGCACTTTGTCAACCCGGGTTCGATCTCCAGTACCCCATATAGTCCCCTAAGCACCGCCAGGAGTGATTTCTGAGCGCAGAGCCAGAAGTCGGCCCTGAACACCACCAGGTGTGTCCCTAAAACAACATAGATAGATACTGAAAGAAGATTCTGCGGTGGGGCAGGCTTTTGCGGTGCGCGTGCTGAACTCAGGTTGGATCCCTGGCACCCCTACCGGCCGGGACTGTGGCCAAAGTGGTAGGGCTCAAGCAAGGCACGTGCAAAGGCCCTAGGTGTGTCTTCAGAGTTTCTGGGCTATGGTTGTACCTGCTCTTGGCACAACTATTTTGAGAGTTAATGTGCCCATGGCTGCGTGTCATTTTTCTTTTTCTTTCTGTTCTTTTCCTTTCTTTTTGGATCACACCTGGTGATGTTCACGGATTAGTACTGGCGCTGCACTCAGGAATGACTCCTGGCAGTGCTCAGGGGACCCTATGGGATGCCAGGGATCGAACCCGGGTCAGCCATGTGCAATGCGAAGACATTCCCCGCTGTACTATTGCTCCGACCCTGTGTGTCATTTTTATTTTTTTTTTGTTTCTGTTTTGGGGTTTCTTTCTTTCTTTTTTTTTTTTTTTCCTTTTTGGGTCATACCCAGCAATACTCAGTTACTCCTGGCTCTCCATTCAGGAGTTACTCCTGGCGGTGCTCAGGGGACCATATGGGATGCTGGGAATTGAACCCGGTCGGCCGCATGCAGGGCAAACACCCTCCCCACTGTCCTATCGCTCCAGCCCCGTCTGTGTGTCGTTTTTAAATAACCCATTTCTTCATTTGCCGGCCAGCGTTCCCAGGCAGCTCTGGTGCCCCTGGGGTGGGCACGCACATTTCTCCAGTCAGGTCTCTCAGGTTTAATCATCTTTGATTCTCTGCCTCTTTCCCTTCATTGCTGCTGAACCGTTGCGCTCAAAGTGAGGGGCACAAAGGTGGTCGCACTTGCCCTATTGGTGCTGCGGGGGCGGGGGGCTCACACCGCGCTCAGGCGAGCAGGTTATGGTTGTGGTTCTTGCTAGGGTCATGGTGGCGTTTCACACGCCCACTCCCACGAGGTCTGAACTTCCTAGAGATGGCACTCACGCCCCTTGGTGCCACACTAACACGCAGGGGATACTGAGGGTTTGAATTTGTTACGGCCCCCATGGCAAGCAAATGCTTCAAACTCCACTGTTGTTGTTGTTGTTGTGGTTCGGAATGGGGCCCCACCCAGCTGTGCTCAGGGCTTACTCCTGGCTCTGCGCTCTGGGATCGCTCCTTGAAACCGTTTCCTTTAATAACTGCATTGTGTTCTCTATTGGTAGTCTATTGCTCCTAGCCGGGAGCTTTGTTTTTCCATTATTTGCTGATTACAGAGAGTCAAGCAAAAGTCCAGACCTCTTGGTGCGTGGCCAGTAATCACACCCAGAAGAGCAATGTGTATTCCTCTTAGGTCATTTTTCTGTCTTTCCTCGGGGTTACACATCACAGGCGCACTCTTCATTACTGCAGTCTGAGCCTTGCAGCCGTTTGTGATTTGAAGATTACAGCTGTTAACTAGTCTGGAAACTCCACTGAGAAGGCTTGGGGACTGAAGAGATAATACAGCGGGTAAAGTGCTTGGCCTTGCACACAGCCAACCAGGGTTCGGTCTGTATGGTCCCCTGAGCGCTGCCAGGGTTGATCCCTGAGTGCCAAGCCAGGAGTGAGCCCTGAGCATTGCAGGGTGTGGCCCCCACACCAAAACAGACCAGAAGTTTTCGATTCATATGACAGTTCATTTTGAAACCGTGGGTCTGATGCTTTGCTCTCCTTCCGTGCAGTATCGATGGTGATTTCGATCCGTTGATGCTGAAGTCTCTGAACTTCCCTGGCTGTCTGCCTTCCTGTGTCAGATGCATCACGGGCCTTTGCAGTTGTGCGTCTCTGGGCACCTTGCTGAAACCTGTTGTGAATCAAACCGTTTTATATTGTGTTACAGATGTTCAAAGCCAAGGAACAGAAAGTGAATCCAAGAGAAATTGCCGATAACATCACCAAACACCTCCCAGACAATGAATGTATTGAAAAGGTTGAAATTGCTGGTCCTGGTATGACATAATTTCATCCTTCTTGAGTCAGTTATTATATTGATATTTGGGGAGGGGGAGGAAGTTGGGGTGCAGGAGAGAGAAGGCCTTTCCCCGTGCGTGGGGCTCAGGCTATACCCAGTAGAGCTTGGTTGGGAAAGCCGGGCTTGGGGCCTCGAGTATGCAAGGCAAGTTCTCCCTCTGACTGAGTGGTCTCCAGCCCCCTGAGTTCTTTCCAAATAGAAACATATAAATGCAGGGTTTTATTTTTTTTAATGTCGAGCAAGATGCTGAGAGCACTTTTGGATTGTGATTTAGAAAACATTTTCCTCTAGACTCCATTTCCCAATGCTGGCCCTGGGTGAATTGCTCTCTGCCGACCCACCCTCACTGTGAGATTCAGTTTTCATCAGCACAGTGGGGAGAGATGACGGCGTCTAGGTCTGTGGGGGAAATCGCCCATTTATTTCCCGCTTAGCAAGTCATTTGCCCTGAACTCAGAGAAATTTGGGGGGGGAGACTGGGAAAGGTCTGAAGTCACTGACTGAAACTGGAGCTCACTGGAACCCACGTCAATAGATGAAGTGATGTTAGGATCCTGAAGAGTTTGGCAGGAGCCAAGCCACAGCACTGTGGAGCCAGCATAAACCAGATCAAGAATCTTTCCATTCGAGGGGCTGAAACGATAGCACAGCGGGGAGGGCATTTGCCTTGCATGTGGCCGACCCAGATTCGATTCCCAGCATCCCATATGGTCCCTTGAGCACCGCCAGGAGTAATTCCTGAGTGCAGAGCCAGGAGTAACTCCTGTGCATTGCCAGGTGTGACCCAAAAAGAAAAAAAAAAATCTTTCCATTGGTGTAGTCATTAGAGATAGATTTTATCTGATTTTTCTTCTCTCCCTCTCTACTATTCATTAGGTTTTATTAATATTCACTTGAGAAAGAACTTTGTCTCCGAACAGTTGACCAACCTCCTGGTGAATGGCGTTCACATCTCTGCTCTTGAAAAAAATAAAAAGGTAGCTGTACAGTCCTCAAGTTGATGGGTCCTCATTGACCTGTACAAAAAAGCTGTGTCCAATTTTGCTTAATATTGACGCACTAGAATTTGGGATGATAGAATGTAACTGTAGCCAATTTTCTCCGTATTCTTCTATTATACGATTTTTGGGGGGTTTTTTGTTTGTTTGTTTGTTTTCCTTTGGGTCTCACCCAGTGATGCTCAGGAGTTACTACCGGCTCTGCACTCGGGAATTAGTCCTGGCGGTGCTTGGGGGACCATATGGGATGCCGGGAATCAAACCCGGGTAGGCCATGTGCAAGGCAAATGTCCCACCCGCTGTACTATTGTTCCAGCCCCCATCCATAAGGCATTTGATTTGTTTTGTTTTGTTTGTTCGTTTGTTTTGGGGCATCATCTGACGATGCTCAGGGGTTCCTCTTGGCTTTGAACTCAGGAATCATTTCTGGCAGTGCTCGGGGGACCATATGGGAGGATTGGATTGAACCCACGTCTGCTGCCTGCAAGGCAAGCGCCTTACCTGCCGTGCTGTTGCTCTGGCCCCCAAGACATTTGAGATAGCCAATTGATCTGTAGGAGGGAAAGAATGGCTGGTTTGTAGAAGTGAAATTGAATTTTTTTTCCAGTTAATGATGGACAGAGTAGCTTATTGGAAATCCTATCAGTTCAGTTGTCACCTGTGCTGAATGTTCTGCCCAATTCCGTCGCCGACGCACATAGCAGAAACGAGCCTCTTTCTAACGCTTCTGTTTCTGGTGTCTGTCTCAGGTCGTCGTCGATTTTTCTTCTCCCAACATAGCGAAGGAGATGCACGTCGGCCATCTCAGATCCACCATCATCGGGGAGAGCATGTGCCGCCTCTTTGAGTTCGCAGGCTACGACGTGCTGAGGTGTGCGTCCCTGCCCCTGGAGGGGTCCTGGGGGGGCTTGTTACAGGAGGAGGGCGAAACTCTAGGAGGGCGCTGAGGCCGTCGTAGGAAACTGGGCTCTCGTCCTGGGTGTCACGGAAGCCTGCTGGAGCGTCAGTCGTTAGTGTGAGCTGTGTTCTAGAACCCAGCGCTTTGCCTGCCACTCGGCCGGCTCGGCTTTGGTCCTTGGCGCCACCAGTAGTGACCCCTGACCTCAGGGCCAGGAGTAGGCCCTGAGCACTGCTGGGTGTGGCCCCCAAATTTGCTCCCCCCCCATAAAAAAATTCTTCAATGCTGTAGAGAATTTAGGCAAAGAAGGGAGAAATCATAATATGCATAAAAACATTAGAGATTTTTTTTAAGTTTATTTGTTTGTTTTGGGGTGGGGGTGCAGGGGGGAGTCACTCCCGGCAACGCTCGGGGGTTCGTTCTGGTTCAGAGTCAGGGATCAGTCGTGGCAGTGCTCCGGGGACCCTAGGAGATGGCCGGGAATTGAACCCGGGTCAGCCGCTTGCAAGGCAGGTGCCTTATCTACTGTACTATCACTCATGTCCCCCCCAAAAAGAACCTTAAAGAGACAGAGATAAGCAACTAGTTGGGGGTTAGATGAGAGCAGGCAGGGGTGAGCAGTGATTCGGGTGACGTTCAGCTTACCCGGGACCAGAGTGGCAGTACCGTAGGGAAGGTGCTTGTTCCTGCCCCGCTCCTGGTTCGCACATCTGAGCACAGAGCCAGGAAATTGCTCTTAATCACTGTCGAATGTGGCCCAAACTGCTCACCACAACCACCACTGCCACCTCCCCCAATTTTTATTTTTTTTTAAGTCCATTGACATCGGGTAGTTGCACTTAGATAATCGGTTCAAGTTTCATAAAACTTTCTAATAAATAGCATTGTCCAAGTAAGTCGTTGCCAGTTGCTGGTTCATACGTTTTAAAAAGTTCCAAACCGGGGCTGGAGAGATAGCACAGAGGGTAGGGCATTTGCCTTGCATGCGGCCAACCCGGGTTCGACTCCCAGCGTCCCATAGGGTCCCCTGAGCACTGCCAGGAGTAGCTCCTGAGTGCAGAGCCAGGAGTAACCCCTGTGCATTGCTGGGTGTGACCCAAAAAGCAAAAAAATTAAAATTTCCAAACCGTGGGCACTCATGACTGCACAACGAAAGATCTTGATCCCTCCTGGGCACTTTATTCTTCCAGCCAGTCCTGGACACCTGCTGCTGGCACCTTCTGCCCCTGGGTTTCTGGAGCACAGTGCCAGCGCCAGTAAAGGTGCAGCTTTTCTGTACTCTGGGGCAACGATCAGGTCAGCAAGACAGAGCCGAGAGTGATGCCCTCACGCTTCGATGCTGGTGGCTGGGGCTGGAGCGATAGCACAGCAGGTAGGGCATTTGCCTTGCACACAGCTGACCTGGGTTCGATTCCCAGCACCCCATAAGGTCTTCCCAGCACCACCAGGAGTAATTCTTTTTTTTTTTTTTTTTTTTTTTGCTTTTTGGGTCACACCTGGCGATGCACCAGGGTTACTCCTGGCTCTGCACTCAGGAATCACCCCTGGCGGTGCTCGGGACCATCTGGGATGCTGGGAATCAAACCCGGGTTGGCTGCAGGCAAGACAAACGCCTGCCTGCTGTGCTATTGCTCCAGCCCAGGAGTAATTCTTGAGTACCTGAGCCAGGAGTAACCCCCCAAGCATCGCTGAGTGTGACCCCCACAAAAAAAAGGTTCTGGTAGCTCCCAATTTCTGTGATTTCAGCATTTATCATCACACCATCCTTTTTCTCGGTCTCCTTTTGCTTTCTTTGTTTTGTTTGGTCATGGGGTCAGAGCCAGCTTTGCTCAGTGTTTACCCCTGGTCATTGTGCTCAGAGGTCATTCCTGGTAGTGCTCAGGGGTCCACAGGGGGTGTTGGGGGTGGAACCTAGGTCAGCCACAGGCAGGGCAAGTGCCTGACCCCTGTACGGGTCTCTCCAGCCCCCAACGTCGATTATTTTTTTTTCCAAGTTGATTTTCTGACTGGTCCTAGGTTGAACCACGTGGGAGATTGGGGCACCCAATTCGGAATGCTCATCGCTCACCTCCAAGATAAATTTCCCGATTACCTGACAGTGTCGCCTCCCATCGGGGATCTTCAGGCCTTTTATAAGGTTTGGTATTAATATTGGTGTCCCAGTGGCATGTTTAGTGATTGTGGGTTTAAGTAGGAGCCGACAGACCCTGTGTTCACCATTTTTGCTCTTTGTTGGTGTGTGTTAAAATTTAATTCTAGGGGCTGGAGCGATAGTGCAGTGGGCTGGGTGTTTGCCTGGTCCCCCAAGCACCGCCAGGAGTAATTCCTGAGTGCAGAGCCAAGAGTGACCCCTGAGCGCCACTGGGTGTGACCCAAAAAGCAAGACAACAACAACAAAATAAAGTTTAATTCTACCACGTTACCTATTGTTAAGTGAATTCTTTTGTTTTGTGCTTCGGGGGTCGCTTCTGGTGTTACTCAGCAGTTACTCCTGGCAAGGTGCTCAGGGGTCACTCCCAGCATTGCCCCCTGCACACAGAGCCTGTGCTTCAGCGCAGAGAGCTCTCTCTCTTGGGCTCTGGTCAGTGAATTTTAAAATCCTGTTTGTGTTTAAAAATATTTTTGATGTTGGGGCTGGAGCAGTAGCATAGAGGGTAGGGCGTTTGCCTTGTACGCGGCCAACCAGGTTTGATTCCCAGCATCCCATATGGTCCCCCAAGCACCGCCAGGAGTAATTCCTGAGTGCAGAGCCAGGAGTAACCCCTGTGCATCGCTGGATGTGACCCAAAAAGCAAAAAAAAAAATTTTTTTTGATGTTATTCTCAAATTTTTGATATTTTAAAAATATTTGTAGGAACATTTCTCAAGAGACAAAATTGACCATAATCACTAAAATACATTTCTGATTTTATATATATGTATATACACTTAATAACATTTAACTTTTTTTATAAACTCACCTGACTTTTTGCAGAATGACTCTACAAGATTCTGTTGGATTGAAGTATCAGCTGTTGGTTGTTTATTTTTTTTCATTTTGTGGGAGGGAATCTTGCTGTCCTACCATGAAAAGCTCTTGGTACTTGTAAGGTTCTCCTTCTGCTTTTCCCCTTTGACCTTTGACCACACCCAGTGATATTCAGAGGCTGCTCATGGCACAGTGCTCCAGGAACCCTGTGATGCCAGTGATTAAACCCACGGCTCCTGCACGCTAAAGCATGTACTCCATCCCTTTTGGTCATCTCCCCAGGCCATTTGTACCCCATTTTTAAAGGTACTTCCTTGGGGCCAGGGAGATGGCTGAGAAGCTGGGGGCCTGTGATTTGAATGAGGGCACTTTGCACAGATCCGTGTTCCCCCAGCATCTTGGGGTATGGCCAAAAAAGTAAGGAGCAGAGGGGGAAAAATTATTTCTTTGGGACCAGGAAGGTCAAATAGAGGCCTGGAGAAGGCCCCCATTTGATTCCCAGATGGAACATTTCAAGACTTGTCCCATCCTGATTTCTCTTTGGGGGTTGGCTTTTTTTTTTTTTATCTTATTTTTTTACGGGGGTGGGGTGCGGCAGGTGGTGTTTTGGAGAGAAGACTTTGGGTTATATTTGAGAAATGAACGGATTATTTAGGAATTATGATTGAATAATCTTTCTTTTTTTTTTTTTCAAACAGGAATCCAAGAAGAGGTTCGATACGGAAGAGGAGTTTAAGAAGCGAGCGTATCAGTGTGTGGTCATGCTCCAGGGCAAAAACCCAGACATCATAAAGGCGTGGAAGCTCATATGTGACGTCTCTCGCCAAGGTGAATCATTTCTGGGCTTTTTTTTTCTCTTTTTTTAATTTGACGAAGAGCAAGTGTATTGAATGGGATTTTTTTTTCCTTATCAGCATTGTTAAAACATCATAAGTTGTGTCATATACAGGTTATCATATTGTAACTTGTTCTCTACAAGTTATAACATTATAACAACATTGTGGTTTGAGAGCCTGCTTACAGTCAACAACTTTGAGAAAAACTAAGTAGGGGCTGGAGTGATAGAACAGCGGTAGGGCGTTTGCCTTGCACGCAGCCGACCCTGCAGACCTGAGTTCGATTCCTCCGCCCCCTTGGAGAACCCAGCAAGATACCGAGAGTATCTCTCCCGCATGGCAAAGCCTGGCAAGCTCCCCGTGCCGTATTCGATAATGCCAGACACAGTAACAACAAGTCTCACAATGGAGACGTTACTGGGCCTGCTTGAGCAAATCGATGAACAACGGGAGGACAGTGCTACAGTACATTGTATGTCTCTTCTGGGTTTTTTTGCTGGTGTGCTTTTGTTTGGAGGGCACATCCTGCAGTGCTCAGGGGTTACTCCTGTCCCTGCACTCAGGACTCACTCATGGTGGTGCTCAGGGGACTGTATGTGGTGCAGGGATCAAACGGGGTCGGCTGTGCGCGGCAAGCGCCGTACCCACTTGACTGTCACTTTGGCCCCAATTCCTTGTTTTTTAAAAAATAGTAAGCAAAAATTTCTATAGTCACACCCTTTGTTACTATTTTGGTATATATCAACACCAAAATTCTATTACTTATGTTTTTTTTTTTTCACCCCTACATTTTCAAAGTGGCAGTCCGATGATAACATTCTGAAGCATATTTTTTAATTTTTTAAAATTTACTTATTTATTGAGTCACAGGTCACAGTGAGATGCACAGTTACAAAGTTGTTTGTGATTGGGTTTCAGTCATGAAATGTTTTAGAGAAAAAAAATGTCTTAGAGGAAAAAAAAGAAATTGGGGCTGGAGCGATAGCACAGCGTGTAGGGTATTTGCCTTGCACGCAGCCGACCCGGGTTCGGTTCCCAGCATCCTATATGGTCCCCTGAGCACTGCCAGGAGTAGTTCTTGAATGCAGAACCAGAAGTAACCCCTGTGCATCGCCGGGTGTGACCCAAAAAATTATTTTTTCCTTATAAATATTTCAGCTGTCCAGTAAGTTTCTTTTGTATAAGGTACATGCTTTCTGTGCTTTTAAATTCTTGCCAGCCAGGATGTAGGTACACAGTACGTGAAGCCCTGCGTTTGGTCCCTGCACCACTCACCCAAAAAAGCAAATAAATTTCTGTACACATTCTTTATCTTGTGATTTTTTTTCCTCCCCCCTAGAATTTAATAAAATCTATGAAGCTTTGGACATTTCATTAATAGAAAGGGGAGAGTCTTTCTATCAAGACAGGATGAATGACGTGGTAAAGGAATTTGAAGATAAAGGTAAGCACGCTAATATTTTAAAAACTTTTATAGACTTTTCAAGTATAAGTCAAAGTGGAGTGGAGAGAAGATTGCAGTGTCCCTCTAAATTAGAGAACTATGTGTACAGGACACTTCTATATACAAGGCTTATTACTAACATAGTTGAATCACTAACTACTGGTATGTGTCTTTGAGAGAATAAATTCTTCCTCCCATTCAAAAGCCACAATCCTATTTATCACCACATAAAAATTAATTTCTTGAAACCATTAAATAAGCAGTAATAAAATGAATAGAGTGGAAAGTGCCTAAATCCACTCACAATCTCTCGCATTCAGATGTAACTTTACTATTACGATGTTCTTTTCTGCCCCTTGTAGCTAAGGATATAAGGCCCCAAACTCATTTTTTTTTCCCACTGTCCTTTTTTTCTCTCCACTTCTCATCGAAAATGGTGATGTGGGGCTGGAGAGATAGTACAGCAGATAGGGCATCTTTTTGCACTTGGAGCCTGGTGTGCTTCCACACCCAGCCACATCTCCCGAAAAGTGCTGGCTGTTGCTGGCTGACAATTTCCTGAATGTTATTTAAGTTGGAATTTCTTTTCAGTACTTTTTTTTTGGGGGGGGGGGGGTCATACCCGGTGATGCACAGGTGTTACACCTGGCTCTGCACTCAGGAATTACTTACTCCTGGCGGTGCTTGGGGATCCTATGGGATGCCGGGGATTGAACTTGGGTTGGCCACATGCAAGGCAAACACATCCCCCCCCCCCCCCACACACACACACACACACACTGTCACTCTGGCTCTTTTCAGTACATTTTGAGAAGCAGTCATAGACATTGCATCTTTCTTCGGTTGAAAACACATGGGTATTTTTTTTTGGCTTCTGAGGACATTGGCTCCAGCGAGCTGTTCTGCAGACTGTAGGGAAGAGGCATTGTGTGAGCCCAGAGCCTGCGCTCTAAACGCATAGCAGCCGGGAAAGCTGCTGTTCACCGAGGCTCAGCCTGGGTCATGGGCAGGAAAACAGCTTGATCTCCACAGTTGTCCAGTGAGCACCCTAGAGTAGCGAAGAGTTTGTGTCGCTTCAGGGTCCTTCTCCTTTGGGGGGCGGGGGAAGTGCGGGCACAGACCCAGCAGTGCTCCAATGTGATCCTCGGCAGTGCCCGGGGGACCAGAATGGGACACCAGGTGCTACAACGACATCATCTGCACATTTGGCCAGTGTCTTGCCTCCTGGACTGCCCCTTTGGCCTCCCTCCAGGAATATTCACTATCTTAAAAATCTTTAGACTCAGGGGAGAGAGCTTAGGCACTTACCTTGCACACGACGAACCCGGGTTCGATCCTCAGGATCCCGTAGGGTCCCCTGAGCATCCCTGAGTATGTGTTTCAGGTGTGGCCTCAAAAACAAAACTTAATGCATAGATTTTTTTTTCCCTTTAGGATTTGTGCAAGTGGATGAGGGCAGAAAGATTGTGTTTGTCCCAGGGTGTTCTGTACCGTTAACCATAGTAAAATCAGATGGAGGTTATACGTACGACACATCTGACCTGGCAGCTATTAAACAAAGACTGTTCGAGGAAAAAGCAGATAAGATTATCTATGTGGTGGACAGCGGACAGGTGAGTTTGAAAATTTGTCTATGGTCTTACGGTGTCTGACTGGAGGGGAAGATGATACAGTGATGTTCTTGCAGTATCTGGCTCATTGTTTTCCCCAGAGACTTAAATTCAGCCCAGTAGTATAATGGGGCAGGGGGTGTGTGCAGGGAATTAGATGTAGAAAAACCGGGGGGGAGATGGAGCAGTAGCACAGCGGGGAGGGCATTTACCTTGTACATGGTGGACCCAGGTTTAATCCCCGCCATCCCATTGGGTCCCCCAAGCACTGTTAGGAGTGGTTCCTGAATGCAGAGCCGGGAGTAACCACTGAGCATCCCTGGGTGTGAGCCAAAGAGCCAAAAAAAAAAAAAAAAAACCAGGTTTTAGATGTAGCCAAGTATGGCTGGTCCCAACTCTTCACTTATTTCTGAACCTCAGTAAAGGGTTTTTGGGTTTTTTTTTTTTTTTTTTCCATTTGTGTGTTTTGGGCCACATCAGGCGGTATCCAGGGCTTCCTCCTGACTGTGCACTCAGGGATCACTCCTGGCAGAGCTTGGGGCACCATACGGGGTCAGCCACATGTAAGGTAATCCCACTGGACTACCCAGCCCCTCATTGATGGTTTTCTGCCTCTGAGGCTGGTTGTGAGAGACGAAACCTAATTGAGGTGCCGGACAGACACTCCAGGGGATCTGGTGTTATGCTGAGTGTGGCCATCCAAGGTTCAGTCCCCGATACCGCATCATCTCTGAGTAGCCCCCGGGGTACCCCGAGTGGGCCAGGCAATTCCCACACTGCAGTGTCCAAGCAGTACCTCACCCCCAAGTCACCGCAATGAACCTCTGGCTCACGTGGCCTGAGCTTCTACTTAGGAGATACTCATGCCCCCACCAAAAAAAATATTGGATTTTTTTTGGGGGGGTTCACATCCAGCAGTGTTCAGGCATTGCCCCTGCTCCTGTCACTCAAATCACACCTGGCAGTGCTCGGGGACCCTGTGGGATGCCGGGGATTGAACCCTGGTTGACTGCATGCGAGGCAAACACCCTACCCGCTGGACTATTGCTCTTGCCCCCCAAATTGGAATTCTTTCATGTGAATATGTCCTCCTTAATTCATTCCGTTCTTTTTTTTGTGGGGAGGAGGGGGCTTTTGGATTTTTGAGTTACTCCTGGCTCTGCACTCAGGTATCACTCCTGGCGTTGCTGGGGAGGGCGGGGAACGACCCTATGGGATGCTGGGAATCAAACCTGGGTCAGCCGCGTGCGAGGAAAACGCCCTCCCCGAAGTACCTGCTCCAGCCCCTCAGTTCTTTCTTTTTTTTTTTTTTTCTTTCTTTCCTTCTTTCTTTTTTTTTTTAAGCAACTTTTGAACCTAGGGGGCCAGGAGTGATAGAGTGAGAGGGCATTTGCCTTGCACGTGGCCAACCTGGGTTTGGTCCCTGGCACCCCATGGGGCCCCCCAAGCACCACCAGCCGTGATCCCTGAGCACAGAGTAACTCCTGAGACTCACTGGGTGTGTATGGCTCCAAAACGAAGCAAGAAAACCCCTTTGATTCTAAGAAAATACAGAGCAGTTGTGCTCCTGTTTCCTGTGTGTAAGAAATGAAAGAAGACCATTAGTGATTACGCTCTCTTCACAAGGTTTGTGATTTCACAAATCTGGAAACCTAAGCAATAACAAAAGCAGTTGAAGTCAGGCTGGAGCGACAGCACAGTGGGGAGGATGTTTGCCTGGCACGCGGCCGACCTGGGTTCGATCCCCAGCATCCCATAGGGTCCCCTGAACACCGCCAGGAGTAATTCCTGAATGCATGAGCCAGGAGTAACCCCTGTGCATTGCTGGGTGTGACACCTTCCTCCCCCCAAAAACCAAAACGAAACAGTTGAAGTCTTAGGGAGAGAAGAGGGGAGGGCACATTGTGGTCCACACCTGGCAACACCCAGCTCTGTGCATGGGCATTGCTTTCAGGGGCGCCCAGGGAACCTGGGAATGGAGAGGAGCATGGGGGTCAACCCCCCTCCCCGTGGCATGCACGTGAGTCACACACAAGGGCACCAGCTCAATCGCCCCCGAAGTCCTTTTTTTTTTTTTTTTTTTTTTTTTTTGCTTTTTGCTTTTTGGGTCATACCCAGCGATGCTCAGGGGTTCCCCCTGGCTCTGCAACCAGGAATCACTCCTGGCGGCGCTTGGGGAACTCTATGGGAATCGAACCCGGGTCAGCCATGTGCAAAGCAAACGCCCTCCCCGCTGTGCTGTTGCTCCAGCCCCCCCCCCTTTTTTTTTTTTAATTCCCAGCCAGCTCAGCCAGTGACACCTCTCCCATCTCTTTGCAGGCTCTTCACTTCCAGACGATATTCAGTGCCGCACAGATGATCGGGTGGTACGACCCCAAAGTGACACGGGTGTCGCATGCCGGGTTTGGCGTGGTGCTGGGAGAGGACAAGTAAGTCTGGGACGATCTGACGGGGGCGTGACGGCAAGCTGGGGGGTCCCTGCCCGCCCCCCTCTCCCCCCAGCCTAAGCTGACAGTGCTCCTGAAAGCCACATAAAGTACCGGAAGGTGCTTAGCTAGCCGATGGCTGAAGCCCCAGTCAGGGGTTTACGTAGACCGGGTGTGTCAGAGGCTGAGGTATGGTAACAGGGATCAAAGGCTTTCTTCGCTGTCGGCACCAGCAGTGTCCCCGTGGAACGTGTCTGTCCCGTAGAGCTTCATTTTTTTGGAATTCAAGATAGTTCTTTAATTGTTCTTAATTGTGTTTGCGGTGCTAAGAAAACATTAAAAAAAAAAAACAGGAAGTCGGAGAGATAGTATCGCAGGAAAGGTGTTTGCTGTGTGTATTACTGACCTGGGTTTGGTCCCTGGCGTTTCAAAGGGACTCCCGGGCCTGCCGGGAGTGATCCCTGAGCAGAGCCAGGAGGAACTTTCCCCCTGAGCACTGCTAGGTGTGGCCCCCAAATAAATCCCCCCCCCAAAAAAAAAAACTACTTGAAAAGCAACCGATTGGTTGATATTGCTTATAGTGTCGTAATTAATCTTAGAAATTAACTGCTAACAGCTAATTTCCACAATTGGAGGGAATGACCAAATGTACTTTCTTTTTCTTTTTTCCTTTCTTTTTTTTTCCCCGGGGTGGGGGTGTTGGGCCACACCTGGCAGTGCTCAGAGCTTACTCCTGGCTCTGAAATCAGGGAGAACTCGTGGTGTGGGGCTCAGACCGTATGGGATATGGGGGGTTGAACCCAGGTCAGCCATGTGCAAGGCAGATATCCTGCCATTGCTTGGCCCCCTCAAATTCACTTTCTGTATTTGATTTTTATCAGCATTACTTAGTGCCTTGAATTTAACTTGCTTATCTTATGATGATTAAATTTTTTTTTACTCTGAGCATGTTACTAAGCCTCTCAGAGGAGGAGGAGTGATGTCGTTAGCCAGTGGCATCCGACGTGGTTTTTAATTATAGAATGCCCACAGATTCCACCAGGGATTTCTTTGTGTTTTGGATTTGGGGGCCACACTTGGCTCTGCTCACAAATTACTCCTGGTAAGTGCTGTGATGACCATATGGGATGCCCAGGATCGAATCCAGATCGGCTGCCTACGAGGCAAGTACTCTATCTGCTGTACTATTGATCCGGCCCCTCATTTTCAGCGATTCTAAGTCTGACGGTCTATTTGGTCTATTTTTAAATCTTCATTTGTGGGAAAATTTGAAATAATGGTGGTGGAATTGGTATTGGAGTATTGAATGTAATAAATCATTGTGAATAACCAGGCTGGAGCAGTAGCACAGTGGGTAGGGCATTGGCCTTGCACGCAGCCAACCCGGGTTCAATTCCTCCGTCCCTCTCAGGGAGCCTGGCAAGCTACCGAGAGTATTCCGCCCGCACGACAGAGCCTGGCAAGCTCCCCGTGGCATATTTAATAAGCCAAAAACAGTAACAACACGTCTCACAATAGAGACGTTACTGGTCCCCGCTCAAGCAAATCGATGAACAACAGGAGGACAGTGCTAACCTTACAAAAATTAAATTTAAAAATAAATAACTGGGGCTGGAGCAATAGCACAATGTGCCTGGCACACGTCCGACCCGGGTTCGATTCCCAGCATTCCATAGGGTCCCCCGAGCACTGCCAGGAGTAATTCCTGAGCGCAGAGCCAGGAGTAACCCCTGTGCATCGCCGGGTATGACCCAAAAAGCAAATAAATAATAGCTGTTGCTAAAAAATAGTAAAAATAAAATAAAATCTTCATTTGCGGCCAGAGAGATAGTACAGTAGATAGGATGCTTGCCTTGCACGTGGCTGAGCTGGCTTCCATCCGTGGCACCCCGTACGGTACCCTCCACCTGCCAGGAGTGATCTCTGACCGCTAAGCCAGGAGTCAGCCCTGAGCACCACCACCTGGTGCACCCTCCACTACCACTACCAATAAATAAATAAAATCTTCATCTGGGACATCTAAAATTTTTTTTAGAAAGAAGTTTAAAACCCGTTCTGGTGAAACAGTGCGCCTCATAGACCTTCTGGAAGAGGGGCTGAAGCGATCCATGGACAAGTTGAAGGAAAAAGAAAGAGACAAGGTAATCTGGGCCCTTCCTTGCTTCCTGTGCCCGGGGCGGCCTGTGGTGATGTGTCACCGCCACTGAATGAAAGGACTAACCGGGAAGGGTTCTGAGTCACTCCACTGCGGACAGGCTTCCTCAGATCTTACCGCTCTGTGAGTTTGGTGCCCATAATCATGGGCGTTTGTCTCGGAAGGAGAGTTGTGGGGTAGAACCAGATCTGTGGTCCCTTCTTCCTTTGTTCATCGTTCTGGGCCGGAGTGATAGCGCAGTGGGGAGGTATTTGCCTTGATTGTGGCTGACCCGCGTTCGATCCCCGGCATCCCAGGTGGTCCCCCGAGCACCGCCAGAAGTCACCCCTGAGCATCGCCGGGTGTGACCCAAAAAGACAAATATATATATATGGCATCATCTGTTGACTTGTACTGGCATTTTACCTGTTGCCAGTGAACGCTAAGGGGGCCCAGCAGGTAGCACTGGCCTTGCCTACAGCAGACCCCAGCCCAGTATATGCCCCCCACACAAGCAGGACCCTAAGCGATCCCTGACCACAGGGCCTGAAGGAAGCCCCCAAGACAGCCGGGTATGGCCCAGAGAGCGAAAATTTCAAGGGGGCATCCTGTGTTCCGAGGGGGCTTGTGTCCCAGCTCCCCATCGTCGTCTGGTTGCTGCTGACCCACTCTCTCTGGGTCCCCCTGGTACCCGGAAGGCCGCTGACCAGATGTCCCAGTAGGGAACACAGTCTTCGTCACATCCTCAGGAAGAGAGCGAACTGGTTAGACTTGGGTAGCATTTGGAGGCATCTGTCAGAATGTCAGACACTCGAGAAAGCTGCGAGGGACTTCCTCCCGTGGCGCTCAGGGGGCCTCTCGCAGTGCTCCTCAGCCCCCAGTGTGGCCTGATAGATCAGTGGTCAGGTGCACCAGAACCCTGCGAGGCTTGTGGACACGTTCGCGGTTCTGGGATAGAATGTGAGTGTGCCACCCCTTCGGTCTGTGAACTCCAGCAATGCCCTGAAAGAGAGTCCTGAAGACCCCCCCGTGTCAGAAACGGCTCTTCGAAGAGACGCTGCTGCTCTTGGTTCCTAGAGGTCGCGGGCTTGGGACTGGAGCAATAGTACAGCAGGTAGAGCGTTTGCCTTGCACTCGGCCGACCCGAGTTCGATTCCCAGCATCCCATATAGTCCCCTGAGCACCGCCAGGAGTCATTCCTGAGTGAAGAGCCAGGAGTAACCCCTGTGCATCAGTAACCCCTGTGCATCTCCGGGTGTGACTCAAAAAGCGGAAGGGGAAAAAAAAGAGGCCACTGGCTTTCCAGAGGGCGGAAGGCGGGTCCCAAGGCTGCGTGCTTCCCCACGCCCGCGGTGGCACTGGGAATTCGAGATCGCTCTCCTCTCTGTTTCTTTGGTGGCTGCCAGATTCCCAGCTGTCCCCTTCCCTAAATACGCGGCCTGCATCATCACACGAAAGGGGGAAGCTGAGCCGTTTCTACCCGAGTGGTCCTTCGGTTCAGTTTTGCTTGTTTCTTCACACCCGGCCCACACCCGGCCCGGCTCAGGGTCGACTCCTGGCTCTGCATTCCGGGGTCACTCCTGGCGGGCTCAGGATTGCCGCCGTCTGGGATACCGAGGGTCGAACCTTGCCCACTCTCCTCTCTGTCTCGCCCCCTCCTTTTGTTCACGAATCTTTTCCTCTGATTGCTCTTCACCGGCTGTTTGGGCCTTGTTCTCGGTGCTTGTGTGAAGCACTGCAGAGTGCCCCCGTGTGTGCGTTGAAACGGAGGGGGGGCGGTCCTGCCTGCTGTGCTCCCCCGCTCCGGAGCCCTGCTGTGTGCTTGCACCCCGTAAAAACCTTCCGGGTGACCCCTGTGCCCCCTGTTCTTTCTACAACTCCAAGTTCATGCGTCATGTTGGGACGTCGGGCCACATCCCAAGTGCCCATCCTGGCCTCTTGCTTTCACGCTCTGTGCTCCGTTTGGAACCTCCTCGCTTCCGAGGTTCTGTTCCTGCGCTGGATTTCATACATCCGCTGAAGTCATGCCTCTTTTCACTCAGTTTTGTCTTCAGAGTCTTTTTTTTTTTTTTCTTCCACTTTTAGGTCACACCCAGCGATACACAAGGGTTACTCCTGGTTCTGCACTCAGGAATTACTCCTGGCGGTGCTCGGGGGACCGTATGGGATGCTAGGAATCGAACCCGGGTCGGATGTGTGCAAGGCAAATGCCCACCCACTGTGCTATCATTCCAGCCCCCCCCTTTTTTTTTTTTAAGCATGATCTCAGTCATCACTCGATTGGTCTTTTGTTGTTTTTGATCATTTATTTTTAAATACTTGTGGGTTTTTTTTTTCTACTGGAAAAGTTCTTTTCCCTTTATAGATATTTTAAAGTCTCAAGGTTTTGGCTGGAGAGATAATATAGGAAGAAGGCACTTGCCTTGCATTCAGCAGACCCCAGCTCAGCTCTGGCTCCGCTTTTGAGTGCCAACAAGAGTAGCCTCTGAGCACAGAGCCAGGAGTAATCTCTGAGCACAGAGCCAGGAGTAGCCTCTGAGTACTGCCAGGTGTGGGACCCCAACACCTCCCATGCACACACACAAACACACATACAGACCTTTTATTAATTTTTTTTTTTAATTTAACTCCAGACTTCAAAATTGGGGCATCTTTATTTTTTTTTTTTCCTTCTCTTTCTGTTGTCTTTTCTCTGCCCTGTCACCTTGGTCTTTTTCACCCATTTCATTTTGACTTTTTAGCAGACTTCCTTATTTTCTCTCTCTGGCTGGGTGTTGGGAATAAAAAGTGAGTGCCCTCTTCCTCTGGCAAAGATGGTTTCCTTCTGCCTGGCATACACCGCAGCAGGTAACCGAAAGGCCCGTCGGTCTCGGTCTTGGGCATGAAGACTGAGCTGTGTCAATTGGGCCTCTCCCCCCCCCCCCCCCCCCGACGAAGGCCCCCTCCGCTGAGACACGGGACACCCCCGCTGCCCTTCCCCTTACTGCCGGTGGGACCCCCAGGCCTAACCCACCTGCAGCTCCTTCCTGCTGAGGTGTTGGGAGCGTTGCCTTGTAAACGCTGGCCACAGGACGGCTTGGAAGAAATGGGGGCTGTGTTTATTTTTGCCTTGGTACTTCCTGAAGTTTATCCCCTGTGGCTTCCTCTTAGGGGTAGGTTGTTCTCACTTTGGCAGTCCCAGATTTCAAATTCTCCTCTTTCCCCAACAAGACCAATTATTATTAATTTACAAAGCAGTGCTGGCATTCCTGTGGGGTGGGGGGGGCGACGCCCAGGTTGGTGATGGTGAGGTCAGGGTGGTCACTCCCACCAGCGCCAGGGCTCAAGCCCACAGGCAAAAGTAGGCGCTCCGGCCCTTGAGAGCATCTCCCTGCAACCCTGAAGTGAGTTCTTCCTGCCATCCTTGGCACGCCCTGTTTCGACTTCATTCATTACCGAGCCTGATTTCATCATCTTTATAAGCTGGCCGCCCCAGAATCGTTTTGGAATGAAATGACTATAAACCGGTAATTGGTCTGTTCAGTTTCCTGTCTTGTGAAAATACTGTCAGGGGGAAGTATTCAGGTTGAGACTTGATATTTTGGGGGTGTTTTGTTTTGTTTCGTTTTGGTTTGGATTGGGGGGGGGCACACCTGGCGGTGGTCAGGGCTTACTCCTGGCTCAGGGAGTCACTCCTGGCAGGCTCGGGGTACCGTGTGGGGTGCTGGGAATCGAACCCGGGTGAGCCGTGTGCCAGGCAAGCGCCCTCCCTTGCTCCAGTTGTGCGACTGGGTATTGTATGAAATCGGGTTTCTCCCAGGGTTCCTTAAAATCCCGACACTTGGAGTCCCCCCGCCCTGTCGGCAACGCCAGCTCCACCAGGACAAGGTCAGTAAACTGTGAGGTGTTGTTTTTCCCAAAGGTCTTAACCGCAGAGGAACTGAGAGCCGCTCAGACGTCAGTTGCTTATGGCTGTATTAAATATGCTGATCTTTCCCATAACCGCTTGAATGACTACATCTTCTCTTTTGACAAAATGCTGGACGACAGAGGGAACACGGCTGCCTACCTGCTGTATGCCTTCACCAGAATCAGGTACCGACGCGGGCGCGCCCGGTGGTCTCTCACCCGCGGTCGGCTGGCCCCGAGAGCGCGCGCGGCCCTTGGGGGGGCGAGCGTGACGGCGGGCCGCCCGGTCCTTGCAGGTCCATCGCCCGTCTGGCCAGCATCGATGAGGAGATGCTCCGGAAGGCCGCCCGGGAGACCAGGATCGTCCTGGACCACGAGAAGGAGTGGAAGCTGGGCCGATGCATCCTGCGCTTCCCCGAGATCCTGCAGAAGATCCTGGACGACCTGTTCCTGCACACCCTCTGCGACTACGTCTACGAGCTGGCCACGACCTTCACTGAGTTCTACGACAGCTGCTACTGCGTGGAGAAGGACCGCGAGACGGGTGAGCGTCGCGTGGCGTCGGGGCAGGGGCAGGCCAGAGAACCGAGACGTGATGAGGGGAAGAGTCACCACTGATTTATAGCTCGTACTAAATGACCGTGGTTTTGAAATACACAGTTGGGTAGAAAGTATATATATCGTTGGGGCCAGAGTGATAGTTCAGCAGGGAGGGCCCTTGCCTTGCACGCAGCTGACCCGGACACACCCTGTAGTGTTCTCTGATAGCATCACGAGTGATTTGAGTGCAGAGCCAGGGGTAACCCGCTGCGTCCCCAGATGTGGCTCCCCCACCCACCCCAAATCAATGAATAAATAACTCTTAAAAATAAAGCAATAGGGCCAGAGCAAATTTTTTTTTTCTTTTTTGGGTCACACCCAGTGATGCACAGGGGTTTCTCCTGGCTCTGCACTCAGGAATTACTCCTGGCAGTGCTCAGGGGACCCTATGGGAAGCTGGAAATCCGACGTGGGTTGACCTCATGCAAGGCAAACACCCAGCCTGCTGTGCTATTGCTCCAGCCCCAACAATTTATTTTTAAGGTAGGGCGTTTGCTTTGCACGTGACTGACCCAGGTTCCATCCCCCGCATTCACATAGGGTCCCCCGAGCACCACTAGGAGTGAATCCTGAGCGCAGAGCCAGGAATAACCACCCCCCACACACACACACAAGCATCACCGGGTGGGACCCAAATTTTTTTTTTAAAAAGCCTAAAAATAAAAATAAAGCGATACAAGTCGTGACATGTGTGAACCCCGAGTTTAATCCCCAGCCTCACCTGTCCTCTGAGCACCGTGAGGTGTGGCCCAAGAGCAAACAAAGAAACATTGCGTGGGAGACAGGAGAGGAGGAGCTGCACCCGTGGGAGCACGTGTGCCGTATGCACTGCCCCAGCTCAGCCTGCAGCCGCGCGCGTGGCTTCTGAGCACGGGAAGATGCCGTCCCCGGGTGTGTTCCGAGCACCGGCGACCTGACCCCTAATAACCAATGGCAGGGGACACACAGATCTCACACACGGAAACACCCGTGCTTCTCAGCGTGTCTCCACCGGACTGCCGGTGGTTGGCCCGTCCTTAGCCGAACCGAGAAGGGGCCTCCGCCCTGCCCCGGTGACTGTCGGTCAGAGACTTACCGCCGTCTCGGTTCTGTCTCCTCAGGCAAAGTGCTGAAGGTGAACATGTGGCGGATGCTGCTGTGCGAGGCCGTCGCCGCCGTGATGGCCAAGGCCTTCGACATCCTGGGGATCAAGCCGGTCCAGAGAATGTGAGCCTGCGGGCGGACGCCATCTTCACCAAAGTGGCCATTAGCACTGTTCGCTTTTTTTTTTTTAATTACGGTCGTGTGACTATGGAAACAAGTAAACGGAGTTTGCCGACTATCCGTGGAGCATGTGGTTCTTTTCCTCCCTAGGGTTCTGGGAGGAATGATGGTGTCTGGCTGAACGCTGGTCTCTGTCAAGCTTTCCGCTTTATGGGGACCAGGGAGTCACCAACAGGGGTCTCGTGTCCCAGGGCGGTGAGGGAAATTATTGGCTCGGCCGGGAACAGTGTTTATTGGTTTTCGATGAGAAGGGAAGTTTGCTCCGTGGTGCTCGGGAATCCACGTGTTCCTTGTCTTGTTTAGTCTTTTATTTCATTGTTCTACCATGGACGCTTATCCTTGTTGGGCAAGTGGTGAAATTAGGAACAGGCCTCGGGTTGCTGAGAAGTGGAATCAAGATTAGTGTCCGTGTGTGTCCAACTTCCGTAGGATTTCTATTTGATTTTATTTATTTTTGCTTTTTGGGTCACACCCAGCGATACTTTGGGGTTCCTCCTAGCTCTGCACTCAGGAATTCCTCCTGGCGGTGCTTGGGGGACCGTATGGGATGCTGGGAATCGAACCCCAGGTCAGCCACGTGCAAGGCAAATGCCCTACCTGCTGTACTATCACTCTAGCCCCTTTTTATTGGATTTTAACAGAATGCAGGATCGATGATGATGGCGAGCTTGGGTTCAAAGGAAGAGGCAAGAAACTTCTCTTAGAATTTCCAAATTAACTTTTACTGGTCATGTGCCAATCTCAGTTGTAAGGAAGTTGAGAAAAGTAAGCGGCCCAGAGAGAATACAGGGAGTTGGGCTCTTGCCTTGGCTTGTAGCCGATGTGGGCTTGATCCCCGGCACCACATACTGTCTACTGCGTGCCGCCTTGAGTGATCCCTGAGCACAGAGCCAGGAGTGAGCCCCGAGCACTGCCAGGTGTGGCCAAGAAAAGCAAAAATCTGAAAACTGTTTTTTTAGAGAAAAAGGAGTGAACGGGTTTGCTGTGGTTTGCTTAGATCAGTTTCATCCCCTGGGTTCGTCATGTTTCCCTCACTCCGTGAAACGGGAGTTACAAGGTCTGAGAGAAGGCCCAGAAAGCCAAGCGTGGGTTCTGCAGGCGAGAGCCCTGGGTTCAGTCAATCTCGTGCACCCCTGGGATTTACCCCCCAAAGCACTTTCCCCAGTGTTGGTCCCAACTCGTGGCGTAACGAAAGGTAGAGATTTCTGCTGGCGGTGAGGTGGACAGAGGTGTCAGGTCAGTCGTGGATGGCAGGAATCAACACAGAGCAGAAAGGAAGTCAGGGAGAGACCATAACGTGACTCCTGGAAGGCGCAAACACACACGCACACATGCACACACGCATGCACACATGCACTGCTGTGTGGTACTGTGCAGCTCCCGCAGGTCTCCAAGCTCAGAGGCCCCTTCAGAGTGTGCTGTGACACTGGCCACTCTGCGGACCCGGATGGAAGCTTGGTGACAGGCTGCAGGCCACTCCCCACTGGGCAGCTGGACAGTTCTCAGCCTGTGCTCTGCACACGGTCCGCCTGCCCCGCTGAGTCCCTGCCCCAGAAGGTGCAGTGGTTTTTAGGGTCAAACAAAGGACGGAGTGCACCCAGAGCCTAGGAACCCTGCTTGGCGGGCGGCCCACCTGGGTTCCGGCCTGGGCGTGGCTTAGGGTTCCCCCTCCCAAGCATCACCAGGGGGCGCTCCTGAGCTCCACTGGGCTTGGCCTGAACCCCAGCCATCGTCCAGGAATAAAACGGAAGGTTGTAGGAATGTGCTCACCGCACCCAGTTTGTGCTTGATTTTGTGTGTCGGTAAAGGGTCTCAGATTCCTGAGACAGTGGCTACGTCGTCTGTGTCTGAGGTCAACTCTGAACTGGAGTGTATAGAGAGAGAAATGTCAGTAGTTAACCGTGATCGTATTCAGCTTCACTGTAGGAAATAGAACATTGCTTGTCCTGATTTTAACGTGCTGGTCTTAGGGAAAAAGAAGATGCAGTTGCAGTTGGACTTCAGAAAGTCTGTCGTGGATCTAACCTAAGATTCTATGGGCTTTGTGACTCTTATAAAGAGACCAAAATAGAGGTTAAAGTGTGTGTGTGGGGGGGGAAGGAATAGCATTTTAAAATAACCATGTTATTAATCCGTATTATGACGGAATGTCTTTTTGTGACCCTATATTTATATTCTACTTTCTAGGAAATTGCACTACTGTACATCATTGATCTAAGACAATATAGAGTGCAAGACTTTTTATTTATTTTATTTCATTTTAGTCATCACTAAGAAGAAAACGTGGCCAATTAAATTGACGCAGCTTCTGCGTAAGTTAGAATGTTCATCTCATACACAGCGATAAAACTTGCACTCTGTGGAGACAGAGCGATAATACAGCCTCCCCCTGCACTCAGGTTCAGTGCCATCCCATATGGTCCCCAGCCCAAGAGAGAGCACAGTGGTTAAGGTGCTTGCCTTGCATGCAGCTGACCCAGAAGTAACCCTGTGTGACCCAGAAACAAAAGATTTAAAAAAAAAAAAAAGCCAGCACTGCCAGGAATAATCCCTAGTATTACAAAAAATATAGAGACATATAGCTATATAGACTTACTACTATATTTTATGCACAATTAGGCAAAACTCAAATTTTAAAGTTTTTTGGGGTGTTTGGGAGCCACACCCAGCAGTGCTCAGGGCTTACTCCTGGCTCTGCACTGGAAACTATTCCTGGCGATTTTCGGGGAACCATGTGGGATTTGGGGGATTGATCCTCAGTCAGCCAGATGCCAGGCCAGTGTGTTACCCACTGTGCTAATGCTCCAGCCCCCAAAACTCTTAAATTTCTAAGGTAACACTTTTACCTTTTTATTTTTAAATAACTTCATACTTAGACAACTTTCAAATAAACACAAGCATGCTTTTACATTCTTAACCCAGATTGACTGATTGTTATATTGTCACATTTGCCACAAAAAAAAAAAAAGGGAGAAGTTGGGACTGGAGCAATAGTCCAGCGGGGAGGGCATTTGCCTTGCACCTGGCTGGCCCGGGTTCGATCCCTGGCATCCCATAGGGTTCCTCCGAGTACCACCAGGAGTAATTACTGGGGTAGAGCCAGGAGTAACCCCTGAGCATCACTCGGTGTGACCCAAAAAGCCAAAAGACAGGGAAAAAAAATTGGAAGAGTCTTGACTGCTGCCATCGGAGCAAAGGTCATTTCTTTGTAGTAACCAGCAGGGGAAGATGAGAGAGATGCTACAGCCTGCTGGGCTCCTGCCTTGCATGTGGCTGACCCAGGTTTGACCCCCGGCCTCTCCTTAGGGTTCTCCTTATATTCCCTGGGAGTGATACCGAAGCACCCCCCCCAAAAAAAATAAAATAACCCAAAAATCTCCCAGAAGGAAAGGGATAGATACTGAATAACCCATCTCAGATGCAGGATGTAGAGAATCGGGGCAGTCACAAGTTCCCAGAGGCCACAGAAGCAGTCTTGGACTCCAGTAGGAAGCTGACCACAGTCGGGGGAGAGGGGGTCAGAGAGGACAATAGCTTGGGTGGGCAGTGGTGGACAGAAGCAGACACTGGTGGAGGGTGTGTTGGTGGAAGGCTTTATGCATGAAACCCAGCCATGAGCAATTCTGGGAGAGCACTGCAGACTTAGCACACGCAAAGTATGCAGGAGGCCCAGGTTCTCGCCTCAGCACTGCACGGTCCATTGAGGGTCAACCTCTGATCACAGAGGGGGGAGGGGGGGTAATCTCCCCTCACATCCCCTAAGGGGACAATTGGAAAATTAACTTTTCTATGACACTTTCTCAACTGCCTCAGGGCTTCTGCCCCTGCCTGCCACCACCCAGTTGGAAAGATGTTGTTTGTAGAAAGGATTTTAACTGCCAACCCAACTGGGTGGTCCCTACTGATCCTGTGACGTGCTAAGGCTTGCGAAGGTATATAGCTGTGGGACTAGAATTCTCAGTAGGGGCGGTGGGGAGTGGGGAAGGTTCAGCACTAGCACCCCAGGCCTCGCTAGTGAGGGGGATTTGAGGCCGTTCCCAGGGTTCAAAACACGATCACACTGGAACTAGTGAGATACTACAGTGGGTCAGGTGGACGCTTGACTTGCATGTCAAACTTAGACCTGATCCCTGACAGCCCACATTTACGCCACCTCCAGCACCCCCCTGAGCACCACCAGGAGTAATTCCTGAGTGCAGAGCCAGGAGTAACCCCTGAGCATCACTGGGTGTGACCCAAACCAAAATAATACCAACAATAAGGGTCAGAGCAACAGTACATTGGGGAGGGCGTTTGCCTTGCACGCAGCTGACTCGGGTTCAATCCCCAGCATCCCATGTGGTTCCCTAAACACTGCCAGGAGTAATTCCTGAGTGCAGAGCCAAGAGTAACCCCTGAGCATCGCCAGGTGTGACCCAAAAAGAAAAAAAAATAATAATATTAGTAACAATAGTAATAATAAGGGTCAGGCACCTTGAGTCGAGCGTCTGGGAACTAAGCCTCGCTCCGTCCGCTGTCCCCACGTGTCCTGGTTTGTCCCTCCGCCTCTCTAAATAAAGGTGAGAGGTAGGGCTGGAGCGATAGCACAACAGGTAGTGCGTTTGCCTTGCACGCGGCCGACCCGGGTTCAAATCCCAGCATCCCATAAGGTTCCCCGAGCACCGCCAGGAGTAATTCCTAGTGCAGAGCCAGGAGTCACCCCTAAGCATTGCCGGGTATGACTCAAAAAAGCAAAAAAAAAAAAAAAAGTGAGAGGTAGAAGAGGCCACATTTGAGCATCTGTTGTCCTGCCTCTCGGCACTGACATCTGATGATTCTGACATGCATCTGCTGGGTGCCCCAGAGAACCTCTTGTCCGTGACCGTCTGCAAGATGCTCAGTACCTGGCCAGCTGCCAGGCTCAGCACCAGGGTGTCACTGAGTCCTGTCTGCATCCCGTGCTTAGCAGGAAACATGCATGTTCACCCTGACGTGCATTCATGCTCCACAGGTTCTTGACTTGCTTGGGCTGGAACAGTTCTACAGCAGGTAAGGCGTCTGCCTTGCAGGTGGCCCA